CTGCCGGCGGCGGCGGCAACAGCGGCGGCGGAGGCGGCGGTGGCGGCGGCGGCAAACAGCGGCGCCACCGGGACCGGTGCCGGCGGCGGCGGAAGCACCGCCACTGCTGCAGGGACGGCCACAACAACCGCCGCTGCGACCGGAGCAACAGGGGACAGTGCAACCGCCACTGCCGCTGCCTCCGGTTCGTCGGGGGCGGGGGCGGCTTCGACGGGGGCGGGGACCGGGGGGCGGGGGAACGTCGTCAACTCCTCCGCGGCGGCTTCGGCTATGGCCAACCCGACGACCTCGGGTAACCCCAACTCCGGGGAGGATGACTCTCCCTCGGGAGGTGGGGGGGGCACCGGCGATGGGGCCGCCGCGGGGGAGGGGGAGGGGGCGGGGGCATCATGATGGCAGGGTCGGGGTCTCGTGGTTGAGTGACGGAGAAGGATGTCACCTTTGAAACTTGGGAGGGGTCGTCATGATCGCACGGTCGGGGCCTCGTGTTGAGTACGGGGGATCTGTTGACTATGCCGCCTTGGCCCTTCTGTTGCAGTTTTGTTGGTTTGTTCTTGAAGGTGGTTGCGAGGATGCATGTCACGAAAGTGGCATCGATGCCTTTCGGCACCACGCCTGCTCCAAGGCTGGGATGATGGAACGAAGGCTTGGTGTGGCAAATTTTGAACAGCCGTGTCGGTAAAAGATCACGTATGATCCACGGGAACCATCGATTTTGACGTTGTGGTCGATGATTTCTTTTGAGAGAAGAGAGCTGAGAGACAGGCCGTCTAATTTTACCGCATTCGCACAATGCCGTCATCTTGTGGGCTAGGACCGATTTACCCTTCGCTTCGACACGCCAGGTTGCCAGCCGGGAATCGGGTCGCCCGTGTATGTAAAGTACGCCCCCTAATGATATCAGGGGAGAGTTTGTTACTAGAAATATGCTGTGTGTATCGTACGTGTTTTTTTCTTTTCTTTTCTTTTCGTTGTGAAAGTGCTTGGGTTGTTCGCTGTTTGTTCTGGGATTAGGTTTGCACTTGTAAGTTATCTTGCTACCGGGGGGGGGGGACGTGTTTGCCTCTGTTCTCCGTGGCCCATTCGGTTCCTTGCGGGAGGGAGCACTCTTGCTTGTGCTGTTTCTAGTTTGGCGGGTATTGGTACGTCTAAAAACGGAGCGTTATTAGGGGCTTGCTGCTTAGGGGTGTATTCGACGAACCAACAGGGGACCAAAAATGAAGGCGGGAAAGAGTCAGTCTGAAAGGTCAGCGCGTTGAGGGTATTGCTATTCTGGGAAAGCGCTCGTCGCTTGTGATGTTCCCACAGGGAACTGTTGGCCTCAGACAGAGAGAGAGAGAGAGAGAGAGAGAGAGAGAGAGAGAGACGTTGATCAGCGACACGTTCATGTGCCAGGTTCCCTATCATTACACGTGAACTCGTGTCCCAACTATCGCGTGCTGATAACTTTCGGTGGAAATCATTTTTTTTTCATGTTCGAGCATTCCTTCTTCCCGTCCCCGTCCCCGCCGTGTGCCCGAAAAGAAAAAACACAACACTCGGCGTACAAGTTCAAGCATAACTAACAAGGAGAAAAACAAGACGAAAAGAAACGCAACTCTCTACTGTATGCATACCGCAATGCCCCCCCACCCCAGATCCTCTTGAAAAATAGTTTTGTGTATATGTTCAAAAGTACAGCTGTAGCACCCTCACTCTACTTCGCACGCTTCGCAATCCACGAAATGAAAAAACCGTCCGAAATGGAGAGTTAAGCGACATGTCGGGGCCACGACAACGCCGCGGCAGGGTCACCACGTCCCTACAGCCTCAGGTACAAATCCGGTGCTACACACGCTGCGGGCCTTCCACCAATAGTGAGACCTGCCCCCCCCCCCTCCGTCCCACTTCCGCTCCGCATACATGCTGGCAGCTTGATTCTCTCTTCCCGCCATCGTCGTACTGCAGAGCAAGAGCACGCGGAGTGAACGGCTGCTTGACCGCACACTGCCGGGCTCTCGCGGACGGACAACTTGCACGGCATGGATCCGCTTTGCGCAACAAGCGGGAGGCAGACTCTCGCGGCAAACGTGCGTGGGTGCTTGAGACCGACGCGCAGCGTCAGTGTTTCCGTCGTCCCTCCCTCCCCGCCCCCCCCGGCAAAATCGTTCGTGGGATGAATTCACACAAGTGTGATGAAAACAATAATATCAACGACGACAGCAAAAACAACACAACAACAACAATAGAACAAACTTAACGTCGTCTGGGCTAGCAATACCCGCTGGTTTACCCCCCTGACCCCTCCCACACCAGTTCACACCCTACTCCCTCGGCGGCGAGAACCATCACCCCCCACCAAACGCCGTCCAGCTCATCATGTGATTGCGACGAAAGCTGCGCCCAACGCTGTGGCTCAGCCGTCGCCTTCTTTTGGTCATCACCATCTAGTGGGGACTAGGCCACCGCAGGAAAAAAACGCGGACCCGACGCCATAATCAGGTTAGGCAAGGTAAGATGACCGTATCTAACCTCTTCCGCAGATGGAGGGAGGCGCAATCGACTTCGGCGCGGTGTGCCGGCCGACCAACGAACAGCGGAAAGCTGCGGGCGGGACACACGCTAGAAGGGCCCACGTGGCTATCCCACTTTGCGCCTGGCGCGTTTTTTGTTATTTTTGTTTATTCACCCCTCGACCACCGCATGTGGCGACCTACTGCCGAAACATCACCTTTGGTGCTCTCATTTCACTCTCGATCGCGAGAAACAGCTGCGGTCTCTACTGCTGTTGGGAGCTCCCGCGCTCAGCCATTACGGCCTCTCTACGCACGCGCCGTGTTGGCGACAACGAACGGCCCTCTTTCCGTCCTGTGTACTCTACACTCCCTCGCCAATGGGCGCGAGATGATCCATCTACGAAAGGTAGGAAAAGCGATGGCGGGCTGCTCTTTTCCTAGCCACATTCAAACCACCGCAGGACAGAACTACCACCAAAACTAGTTGACGACCCAAATGACGGGAAACAGGAAGCAGCAGACCATTGTTGGCCATGCCCCCCCCCCCCATCCGCGCCTCTCTATCCCCCTCCCTTGAACTGAAGTCCGTCCCGTAGATGGACGTCATCTCGATTGAAAGCCGCTAACACCGCGCCCAGACGAGGCACGCATCTGTCATCGCAAAATGAAACAAAAAGAATGGTGCGGTGGCTGCCTCTCCCGCCCCCACGTGAGGAAAAGCAGGAAAAGATCATCATCATCGTCATCATCGCCTTACAGAGGTTCTGTGCGTGGCACCGTGTCACGGCCCTACGACCACGAACTGCCGGGGGGAGCGCCCATGTCTACTGGTGCCCAATCACCCAAAGCGATTCGTTTCGCACTTGCATGCTGTAGCCCCCTCGTGGTACGCCTAACAGGTCCCGCGTTGGGGCCCTTCTTTGTCACACGCAGCACGGGAAAACCAAGCACAAGAGCCTGGCTGACAAAACTACTTGTACATGACTGGATCGAATCGTTCAAGGAAAAAAGCCAACGGATTGCCACAAGCACGCGCAGACAGAAAAAAAAAAAACAAGACGTCAAAACTGCGCTTTGAGTTGAGGCAACCTATTAGTCAGTTCGGTCGTACACGACGCACAGGTGCTTGGAATGTCTTTCTGCATCGCATTTTTCAGCACAGCAGCAGCAGAGGACTGCAACTACCGCCCGATACACAGCCGAAGATCGTCGGAAGATTCGATGCATGCCTCCTGCGCTGTCGGAATGGCGTCCGTACCGGATGTGGATGGCACATGGGCACATCATCTCGGCACGTCGACGCCCGGTCTCTGCGCGAAGAAGACCTCCTTGAGCGCCAGCAACGCCTCCACCTGCAGACAACAAAAAAAGGGGGGGGGGGGGGGGGGGGGAAGAGGAATCAACGGGTTTCCGCGTAAACGCCTCCCCACCATTGATACGGACCATTGGTTATGATGGTGATGTCACTGTTGGTTTGCTTGCTGCTGGTGCAATCGATTCCCGATCAATAGCGGGTTGCCTGGAAGTGATGGCATTCGCAAGGAGAATGCAAAACTGTGAGTGATGGGGCACGCCTGTACCTTTTCTTCGAGCCTTGGTAGTGTGCATTGTCTAGGCTTCGATATTTCGGTTGGTGTTGCGGCGGCCAACTTTTGCTTTCCCGATGTGCCGGACTGCATGACTATTATGTTAAGATTGTGCGGGAATACACGGTTTCCCACGAATCCTATGAAAAGTCGCAGAAGCAGGGAGGTTGTTCTGCGCGAGACACACACACAAACAAAAAGTAATAGGTAAATGCTCACAGAGTGAGAGACCTCTTCAGATCGACCGGTCTTGCCCTTCCCTCCGGCCGCCGCCGCCGCTGCTGCCGCCGCCGCCGCCGCCGCCGCCGCCGCCGCTGCCATCGCAGCATCTCCCCCCCCACAAGCTGCCTGATGCCCTTTAACCCTAACCCCAACCATTGTGGCTAGCTTCGGCCAGCGACAAAAACGCAGTAGATTAATCGATCCGGACTGCAGTGCCCTGCCTGCTGATCGGCCTCGACGAAAGCGCGAAGGACGTATCGAACGTAGCGTACGATACAATAGAAAGGTATATGGCGGTGGTTCCGCAGCGATGCCACATGCATGTCGGTGAATGCCGTCCACCAGCGCATGTTCTGTGGACTGTCGAACACGGCACACTACAGACCCTATTTACACCTCTGCC